AGATAATTTGTAACTTCTACTTCTTAAACAAATCAGGGCATATTTTTTTGGGAGTGTGCTTTCAGCATTAATACGTCATTCTATCTCTATCGTTCATTAGACAAAAAATAAGAATAAAATGTGCTGATAATGTTGAAAGCATGTTCCTAAAATACAATTAGGTTTATTAATTCGACGCACCTGCATGCTGTAAGTTCAAGATATCGTCCATATAATCGAACATTTCAACTGACATCTGAAAGCTAAAAGAATAAATTATGTAAATATGTGTGCCATCATATTTAATAAAGTTGTAAAAAAGATATAACTCACTATATATTAATATCGTTTTCTCCAATTGCTTCGAGCTCTTCCGGTGTTACTTGCAAATTCCCAGGTAAGCGCGGGTTCCGTTTATGATAATCTAATTTAGTTACTAGCAGTCTTGTGTACAACTGTATGAGGCGACCATAGCCTTCTCTGAGATGCTGCCAGAGTTTTCCAATATCTTCCAATTTGCCGCGATACCGCTGGGAATCAATGATAACCCGAGAATGTCCTTCGCGCAGAACTTTGTGTAGAACATGACAAAATTTCCATGCGACAATTTGATTCTCTTGCAGCGGCTGTCTCAGCATATACGTCCAGAAGATGCAGCCACTCTTCTCTCGATATGTACCAATAATGGCACCTATTCGCTTATAAGGAACTTTTATCTTTTTCTCTTGATTGTGTATCTCTTGGATAAAAATTAATAATAAATATTATATATATTAACTAATTTTGTACCGACCGTATACTGTTAAACAAACAAGGAAGAATTAACACCTATAACGGTCAAAGCTGGATCAACGTGCTAATAATAATTATGTGTGAAATTTATATATGCTACATATGTAGTCCCCCCATAATTGCGCGCTGAAACATTCAGACATATAACGCATAAATACTACAGTAGTATTATAATATCACTGATAAATACTTGATTAATTCCCAATATAAGTTGATAATTTAAAATTCGTAAATAAATTGACTTAACATCTAACACAGGCGTATAAGGTAGGCTTCCATTACAATGCCTTACTGATGAGTCCAGTAATGGAAAGCCGGGACGAAACGCCAAAAAACATTGTGATATTTTTCGTAATATAAAGAATAAAGTATTAAGATCCAATTTATTTACGAATTTTAAATTATCAACTTATATTGGGAATTAATCAAGTATTTATCGGTGATATTATAATACTACTGTAGTATTTATGCGTTATATGTCTGAATGTTTCAGCGCGCAATTATGGGGGGACTACATATGTAGCATATATAAATTTCACACATAATTATTATTAGCACGTTGATCCAGCTTTGACCGTTATAGGCGTTAATTCTTCCTTGATTATATATATTATCGTATTCTAGACAAGAAAAGGATACTTCGAACATGTTTTTCCTTCACCGGTGTTTCTGTGGAGTTTACAGCTTTCCCAATGCTAATACTCTACAAACAACAATCATATATTTATACGATAAAAATGAAAAGGGATAAATAATTTCAATGTCACTGTCGGATGACATCTAAATAATGTTTTCTTGTTAACTTTTTTCAAAGGGACACTCAGTGTCGTCTACATAATTCCCAACTCATTCAGGATATGAGATAATTGTGATAATCCAACGTATATAGAGTGCGATCTCTCGACTCACCAGTTGATGAAGCTGTTTATCAGTCAGCGGAATTGTGGTCATGATGATAGCATAATAAATTTATCAAAACGAAGAAGAAAAAGATACGAGAAGGCGTGCGAAATGATACGCTAATTATCACAGCGTATGCAGATCGCGGATTGATCGTTCGTCAATTCACGGCCCGTGTCATTTCCGACGGATCGTAGACCGCGACTTTTGCAGCTGCATGTATTATCTGCGAAACTGCAAGTTGAAAGTTATATCGTTATTAGCAATTATCACGTGTAGGAGAAGAGAACGGTTACCACTGCTCACGGTAATGCGCGGGGGATGGAGATTCGCGGGGGACAGCTGCTCGGAAGCGGGGGGGAGTCCCCTTCCCAAGTTGCTTGACCTCAACAACGGGCTCTCTCAACGGGTGCGGCGTACCTGAAGTCCCTGGGATACGGGCGCGGACTCCACCCTCAAGCTGGTCGCTTTTTGCTCGCGATCCCCTCGCCGAAACAGCGGTGACATGTTCGCGCGATGACACACGTCGGGCCTCTTCTCATGAGCGTGACAGCCGCGAGCGCGTCATTTCGCGTGCGACTTCGCTCCACCCGTGGGTGTCGATGCCACCACCGTCATACGTACGGAAACGTGGCGATTGCTCGTACCGACTTTTCTCCGAATTCTTTTTTTCTTCTCGTATCTTTCGTATGTGCCTACGACTGTCGAGCGTTGCGGAGGAATGACAGTCAACTGAAGTATGTATACAGAGAGATAATTGTGATAACAAATAACCACACAAACACGCCACACCGAAAAACCGTTTATGGAATACGAAGTACGAATGGCGAATACCACGATAGTGCCATCGAACGGCGCGCAGAAGATACAAAATATATTTCTTCGACGAGTTTCTTTTACCGACGCGTTTTATATAATTTTTAAATATTAAAAGTGATTTAATAAAATACTAAATGATATATATAATTTTTTATATTTTAATACTTAATTTTATTTTGATTTTATTATCATATAGTTAATTGTTTGTAGGCGAATTAGTAATGTTATAAGTATTAAGTAATGTTTAAATTAATTTTATTGAAAATGACTGATTATATGTTTTATATTGTTGAACGAAAATTCTTTTTGACTCTTCAATCGCCCTTGACATCATTTTGTTTATTTTTAAATAACGAGTCCTTATTTTTTTTTTTTATTAATTTGATAGATATATATAATTTTATGCGACTAAAAATTCCTAAAATTATTGAAATGAGAAATAAAATATTTCCCTTATTAAAGGATATCAAAAACGTTTCTAAACATTTAACCAACATTAGACATTATTCTCTCTATCTCTCTTCTTTCAACAACAAAAACTTTTTAAAAAAATAATCCAACCATGTTCAAACGAACGGACGAAGGCAATGCGCAGTAGTAGAAAAAATGGAATTGTGTTATTCACAGACTCTAATTATACCTATGAAAATTTAAGGCAATAAATAAAATTATTATAGAATTAAAGGCATTATTAAAAAGTTGGGAGCATTACGGATATTTTTCGAACTATAATTATAATAATTTAAATTGTACTGGTATACCAATCTTACCACAAGCTTACGGTTTGCCTAAGATTCACAAAACTCTATAGATATCCGTTGAAGGTCATTGTTTCATCTGTTGGAAGTCCCCTTCACAAGCATCTTTTTTATATATCAACAAAAGTTTATCACCGACTGAAAGCTCTACAGTTAACAGTTATTTTTTTACCAAAACATTTCTAAATTAACTTTACCAAAAAATTCCTGACTTTTATCTTTAGACATAGCCTCTCTTTTATCTTTAGACGTAATGTCACTTTTTACTAATGTACATATCAATAGATCTAGTTTTATATATGGAATATCAAATAGGTAAAACCTTATAAAACGAAATACGGACATCTCAAAAACGAAATTGGTTCTAAATTCTACATTTTTTTTGTTCAATGACAATAACTTGTGTTAGCTCAAATTGGCATTTTATTTTATTTTTTATTTATTCATCTATATATTTATTCAAACTAATTGATTATCTTGTTCTTCTAAAAAGATCTGCTTACAAGCTTGTTTTACAATATATTGAAAAAATGTTACATAATGTAAAAATATAGTTTAAAAAAACAATATCAAATCTTATTTGAACCGTGAGAGTTTCAAACTAAATACCGATGAGAATAAGCCATTTATGGTCAAGCTGGATCTTGAATGCTTCTAATATAATTTTCGTGTGAATTTATATACTACGTATGTAGATCCCTAAATGCACGCCGAATTTTTTCAGACTTACAACGCAAACTAATAAACTACCGCAGTACTATCATTGTATCTTGGATCTTAATAATATGTTGAATGACAATTAAAATCTATGAATGGCATTAAAAATCTGTAAATAATTTAATTACATTGCGAAAAATATTACCTCAGCCGAGATAGTACTGCGGTAGTTTATTAGTTTGCGTTGTAAGTCTGAAAAAATTTCGACGCGCATTTAGGAAGATCTGCATACGTGTAGTATATAAATATTAAATTCACACGAAAATTAGAAACGTTTAAGATCCATGCTTGACCGTAAATGGCTCATTCTCATCGGTATTTAGTTTAGAAAAATATCTGAAGTTAAATATATCGCTAATCAAAGCGAATTTGTAATAAGACACAAATTATTTACTATTTTCATATACTACTACTACTTCATATTCATTCTTTCATAATGTTTTACATTATTATAAATACACTTAAATAAATATATTTCTTAGTATTTTAATTTTAATCGGTGATATTAATCATTTCTACTAAATGGATCTTTTCAAATAATCATTAAATAATTTCAATCGATGTCTACGAACAAATATTTGCTTAATTCTTAAATTGTAGAATTAGAGGATATAAGGATGTTTCTTACATTGTACTTCGAAATGTATTAATTAAAAAAAACAGTAAAGATAATACGTAAAACCTTTCTACGTAAAAACTTTCCCGCAATAATTTTAACAGTGAACAAAACATTATGTAATATACATGTACAAGTACACAGCCATTTTCTATTATATTGTAAGCTTACAATAAAAACATCACGTTTATTTTATAATGTAATTAAATTAATGTATCATAAACGCATTATAAACTGAGTAACATAAATATGCACAAACGATCAAATAAATTTAGAAAGTGGACACTTGGTGTGTAACCACATCACTACAAAATATTTGTAAAAATAGATGTATAATATAATAAATTTCATATTCAAATAAGTTAATCGCTACGTGAGACGCATAACATCACAAGATGCATAATAGATGCAATTATCGTTTATTCCTCACGAGCGATAAGTCCATTAATTGCTGGTTGAAGGAATTCTGCTACAATAGCCGATACCATTTCGCTGAGAATGCTTTTTAATTTGTTTAAATCCCTAAAATTAAAATAATATAATACATAATACAAAAATATATTAAATTTTTACAAACAACTTAGAAAGTTTAAAAATAGACTCTAGAATATACCATTAAATTACAATAAAGTACTGTTAACGTTAAATAAAATAAGATGTGACAATGAAAATTCTTGTAAATAGTATTTGCGAAAAACTTACTCTCCAGGCGATCCACATAATTCATTATAGTATTTTATTTTAGGTTCTGTTCCACTGGTTCTTAAAGTAGTAACTAAACCATTTTTGAATGTGAATGTAATCATTTGGCTAGATTTTGATACAGGAAGAACTGCTTTGTTGTCAGGTTTTGTATTGTCATACCCAGTTGTTAAATCTCGAATGCCAGTTATTATATATTTTCCTTTAAGAATTCCGGTTGGGTACTGTATTAAAAATATTAAAAATAAATTACATTGTGAAATCTTCATAAGAAAAAGAAAAAAATACCAAAAGAGTAAAATATTGAGACAATTTAAAAAACATTCCTATTTTATATTATGCATTAATATTATTTTTATTATTACTGAAATGGTAAAGGAAATATAAATAAATCTGTTTTTAGCTACACACACAGCTATCATATCAGCATCCTGATTAAGCTAATAATAAAAAAACTTATCTCTTAAATATACTTACACCATATTTTTATCTGTTTCTTCTTCAAGAAATGGTGTGAGAGGATATAATGACAATACTACTGGAATAAACAAAACGGCAAGAAGCACAGAAGGCAGTAACGTCAATGATATAACAATCACATTTACATACTTGTTGTAAATAATTTTTTTTGTCATCTTAACAAGCATTGGCAAGAGAAAAAGAAAGAAAATAATTTAAGCAAATTTTTTTGGAAATAATTTTGCTTGATTATATATGCCAAACATATTAATGCATTACAACACAAATCAAATTCATTAAGTATAAATATAAGTGCACACCAAAGTATCAATTCAAAAACGTTTCCTGAGGTAACTTTCAATACACACCACTTTGAGTTTACATTGTATTTATTATTTTATCACAGACAATGATAAAGCGCCACTGTCGACACAACTGTCACTTAGGATGACACATGCAGAAATACATCGGTTTTATTACACTTTCAAAGTGGTTAGTCAATTTATGCTACCTCATGCATTACATATATTTATTGACCTTGCGAACACATACTATTAGACGCAAATTAGAATACATTAGTAGTGAACGAAGCGATGTTCGTTGTTATACTTGAAATAGAAAACTATCTTTATATAATCTGTTTTATCTCTACATCAAATACATTTTTTTTATTACTGGAAAGATATCAATTCTTGCTAATAAAAACTATGATTAGATTTATTTATCAGACAGATTTTTTACCAATATCTTTTCAAGTTAAAATGCAAATGATGTATAATAGATAATTAGTACAAATTAGCATGCAGGCTGCTTTTTTTAACTTTACTTATTGTTAGATGGAAGAATATCTTTTTAGAATTTATAATAGAAATTAAAATAGTACTTACTGTATCCGATTTACCCGAATAATTCCTTAGTCGTTCAAATATCGTCTTGATAGTATCCGGATCATGACATATCCAATAGGAATTATCATTGATATGATGACCATATCTGTATATCATGGAATAAATAGAAATTGTTAATACTGCGTCAAATTTGTTTCAAATTTCACGTAAACGTAACATACTCCTCATATATCTCCTCCAACTTATCAGATAAAGTCAATCCTATCGTTTCAAGATAAGCGGCTAATTCAGCTACACGTACGCCAGCACTGATACCATCCTTATCCAGGACCTTAGAGCCGCACATAAAACCTATAGCTTCTTCATATGCAAACAAGACGTCCTTATTATCCTTCATTAATTCTATAGCTTTATTGCCCATCCACTTAAAACCCGTTAAAGTTTCCTATCAAAAAAATATTCTTATTTAAAAACTTATTTTATGCAATTTTTTTTACTGCATACTACATATACATATTAAAATTACAAACCTCGAAATTGAAACCTTCTTTTTTACCCATTGAAGCTAAAATTTTACTGGAAACAGTAGATGCTAACATATATGTCTTACTCAGATCGATATCAGGATGTATCACTTGATAAGTGTGAATCATCCACCAACCCAATAAGGCGCCAAGTTCATTTCCAGAGAAGACATGCCATTCTCCGCTGTAAAGATCATCAAATGTATTCTCATTGTTCGTCTATTACAGTTCAATCTAAATTCGTTGAGAGTTCGCATACTTCTCCGTTTTCGTTGCACATGCAAGTCTATCAGCATCAGGATCGTTAGCGATTATTATAGACGAATCGTTTTTATTTGCTGTCTTTATGCTGAGATCAAGAGCGCTTTTTCCTTCTTCTGGATTCGGAAATTTCACCGTGGGAAATTCTGGATTTGGTAACTTTTGTTCTTCCACTGTTATAAATGGCTAAAAAAAAAAAAAGACAATAATATTCATTTTTCAAAAATTGCATTTTTAACTGTCTCAGTATACTCAGATGTTACCTTAAAGTTTGCTGCCTCAAACGCAGCAGTCATATATTCTTGCCCAACGCCATGCATAGCAGTATATGTGAATTTTAATGTAGTATTTTTATTAACTTCAGGATACAGAACGTTATCCTTCAAGTCTTGATAATAATATCGCATAATATCGTCTCTTGGATCTTTGTAATAGGAGCTTTCATAGATTTGGCTTACATCCCATGAGGAATCAAGTGGTTTAAGATTATTAAGAATATAACTTTGAATCTTTTTATCGTGTGGTGAAATAATTTGTGCTCCATTTTCCCAGTAAACTTTGTATCCATTGTCGTCCTTAGGATTGTGAGAGGCAGTCACCATGATTCCAGCTGCACACTTATATTTTAAAATAGTGTAAGGAATAAATGGTGTGGGACAGACTTGGGAAAATAAATAAATTTTAATACCATTGGCTATAAAAATTGCTGAAGTTAATTCTGCAAACCTGAAAAATTAATGAATTATTGATAAGAACATTAAAATTTAATTATTAATAAAAGGGTGTAATGTTTGGTTTTTTTATGAGTCTTAATTATTTTTCTTTAATACTCTATAATTACAGTACATAGGGCTAGCTCACCTTTTGCTATTGTAACGACCATCATATCCTATCACTACACCTTTCTGTGTAACATCAAATATTGTATCCATCAAATATTTTGATAATCCTTGACTAGTTTGCACAATAACTAAATCATTCATTTGGTTGTAACCTGGTCCCATACGACCTCTAAGACCTGCAGTTCCAAATTCGAGTCTCTTAAGAAACAACTTTGATAATACTTTAATCTGTCCTTTGTCCAAGTATTCCAATATCTCATCTTCTGCTTTTGGATCCTGAAATATTGAAAACAAAATTTTTTAATTATAATATACGTGGGCAACTTGAAAAGTTTCCTAAGTCCCACAGAGATAGCACATGTATCGCAAAAAAGACATAATGGCCAAAAAGTACATCATCTTTTATGAATGCTGTCAAATTTTCAGACAATTGCGTCCATTAGTAATTTAGTTACTAGCAGTCAAACAAAGCAAGTCAAACATTTTTTCAACAATGGATAAAAAGGAGTTTTGTGCAGTTGATAAAACACTATTTTTTGAAAGGGAAAACAGCTACGCAGATTCAAACAGAGTTGCAGGAGGTTCATGGCACATCTACTCCTTCATTACCAACCATCAGTTTTAGGGTAAACGAATTTAAACGTGGTTGTATCAACACCGATGATGAACCACGCAATGGACGCCCGAAAACTGCTACCAACGAAGAAATGGTCAATAAAATGCTCGATATTGTTATGAGTGACCACCGTTTGAAGTTGAAGAAAGCTGACGTCGCGATGGGTGCCGCGTTTGTTTACGGTGGAGAATAAACGCGTGCGTATGACCATTTCTAAGGAGTGTTTGGATCTGTTTAAGCGCAATCCACGAGAATTTTTTCGTTGATATGTGACTGTGGACGAAACATGGATTCACCATTACATCCGAAACAAAACAACAATCGAAGCAATATTTGTCTGCTGAACCGGCCCCGAAGAAGCCAAGTCAGTTCCATCGGCTGGGAAGGTCGTGGCCACCATTTTTTGGGATTCTAAAGGCATCATCCACATCGACTACTTAGAAAAGGGAAAAACGATTATGGGAAAATACTACGCCGACTTGCTGGGCCGTTTCGACGAAGAATTGAAGGAAAAACACCCTCAAGAAAAAAGTGTTGTTTCATCACGACAACACACCGTCCCATTCATCCGCAATTATCACCACAAAATTGATCGAATTATGATACGAATTGCTGCCTCATCCATCATACTTTTGAGATTTGACCCCATGCGACTTATTCTTTTTCTCAAATCTAAAGATTTAACTCGGAGAAAAGAAATTCGCGTCGAATGAGGAAGTCATCGCTGCCACGAACGTCTATTTTCCAGAGTTTCAGCCATCATACTTTTTGGACGGCTTGAAAAAATTGGAACACCGCTGAACTAAGTGTACTGAATTAAAAGATTATAACAGATTAATAAAAAAAGAAATAAGGACTCGTTATATAAAAATAAACAAAATGATGTCAAGGGCGATATAAGAGTCAAAAAGATTTTTGTTCAACAATAAAACATATAATTAGTCACTATTTTCAATAAAATTAATTTAAACATTGCTTGACACTAATTCGCTTTCAAACATTTCATAACTATGATAATAAAAATAAAAATAAGTATTAATAAATATAAAAATGTTACAAGTTTCGGCTCTCGGATTGAGCAATGTTTAAATTAATTTTATTGAAAATAGTGACTAATTATATGTTTTATTGTTGAACAAAAATCTTTTTGATTCTTATATCGCCCTTGACATCATTTTGTTTATTAAAAGATTATATTAAAAAATAAAATAAACTTTCCAAAAAAAAAAAAAAAAGATTTCTTCCTGACTTAAGAAACTTTTCAAGTTGCCCATGTAAATGCAATTTAAATGTATTTGCAATGTAAAAAATATATCATATTAAAAATAAAATTATACCACTGAAACTATTAGCACAAATACTATGTTATTATTTTATATTATTTCAACAAATAAGATGCTTTTCATTTAGCAACAAATCAACACAAAGATAGAAAGATCTAAGTGGAAAGATCATTCTATCTTTTTTAACAATCAGTGAGTAACAAAGATTGATACACATGTTGATTTGTATAATCAAATGGAAAGCTCCCATAAAATGTACCTTGTTCCATTGTAGCCATTCAGTAATTTTATTATCCAAATTACTGTCACCAGTGTTTACTGAACAGAGTGTCATCGTATCAGCAGGGTTCTATATATAATCCGAAGGCAAATCAATGTATCTATCGATATAACTTCTCTCTGATGAAAAGAGGTGTCTTAATTATTTCTGTATCCACAGCGAAACTGATCCACAGTTTTTCTCTAATTTTTCTGTAATGCATATGAAATAGAGTATTATATCATTTGAGAGATTAGAGTTGTGTAATTGATAATAACTATTCAGATAAGACAGAAGAGCGTACTCTTGACATACAACTGATAACAATAATGCAAAATTACTCTTCATCGTTATCTAATCCGTATTGATCGGAATCAATAAACGGCGGCGATGGAAAGCGTATCAAACGCGATTGTTTCACAAAACGCGGCCTTTTATAGGTTACGCGAGCGTCGCCGCGTATTTTCACGACGTGTATTTATTATTGTTTGCGTGAAATTATTTCGCCTTATCTCGCGCTTAATCCAGAAGCTCAGGAGGATCACGCAAAGTCAATTTGAATTTACCTCTCCAACCTCAGATTGGCTACGTCGAAGGATTTTTTTTGTTGGAAACGCCGGGAGGAACGTCCATCGATAAGGGAAGACACCAAAGACACTACGGCGTCTGCGACAATAATGCATCCATCGAAGACGCGCGCAGTTTTATCGCAAGGTGTGTGTAGATATGTATACATTTGTACAAATGAACGGAAAAGCCTTGAATTGTTTTTTCTTTAACTCGACCGCGTGAGGCACGGCGAACGAATGTTTTTGCAGGTTTCACGTATATTTTATATTATATTGCCTCCCGCATGTCAATAAGATCGCAATTGTCGCGATACAATCTCTCTCCGGGTTTTTTGTTTGAATAATCGATTAATTCTCGGGCGTAACAAAGGCGCGAATGAATGGTGCGCAGTTAAGTAACCGATAGAAACGTTAGATGTTTGCAGTTCTTTCATTACATTGAATAAAATGATAGATTTGCTTGACTTGAATAACGCGTATAGATACATTCCATAATATTTTATATATAATCTAAAGTATCTGAATTCAATTCAGCCACGATTAATACAGTTTAAATTAGATTTTTTTTTATGGAATAATTATATTTTTCATTCTTTTCTTTTTCTTTCTAATGTTTAGTTATATGCCTCTGTATATTTCAATTGCAGAAAATACTTAAAAGTAGAACAGTTTCTCTCCTCCCCCTCCCCCCCCCACACACAAGTAGAATGGTTTTTTAGACTGAAAAACCATGTATTTATTTATATAATTATTATTTAATGAGTTTATTACTTTTATATGTATTAGAAAATCTATTGGTTAATCCTTTTAATTTTTACTTCTATATTTAATAGGATTTAACAGAATCTTTTTAACCATTAGATCTTTTCTATCTCCATTATAAAATAATTATTTAAATCAGATCCAAATCCCTGACTATATTTATTAAAGGTGATCAACCTTGTATAAATTATTTTTGTAACCATATCTTTCTACGGATCGATTATTTATTTTTATCTGCTTTCTTTTATTCTTGCACTAAACTGCAGCTGTACTAGAACTTTTTCGCTTTCGTTAAATATTATTTCAGCTACAGAGACAATTAAACCTACACAACTTCATTCATATTCTTAGGCTATAAAAGCTACTGGTTATAATAACATCTCGAATAACATATTCTAAACATATATTTTCCGAGGAAAATTTTATTCTCATAATATAATATATCTTATATTACATATATATATATATTGAGTAAAATTTTGTAAAACGTTTAGAAATGTAGTCCTACAGTCAGTGTTTTCCGTTATTTAGATAAAATTATTTAGATAATCATCTAGATGAAGAAATGGCTTTATCTTATCTTTATCTAGATTATTAAGAATATATAGACTATCTTTATCTTATCTTAGATTAAAAAAGTCTTATCTTTTTCAATTTATCTAAGATTGTAGAAGAGTATTGTAAGAAATTTCTATGTAAACAGCCTCCAGTAGTAATAGTGAGGATTTTTTTCGCGATGTAGATAAAAAAATAGGATTAATTCGACACCAGTCATTCAAAGCAACATTGAAGTACTTCCATATTTAAAAAGTAAATCAAAAGAATTAGATATTTTGAATTTATGTCCACACATTAAACAAATTTTTTTAAAATACAACACGTCATTGCCATCATTAGCGCCAGTAGAACGTCTTTTTAGTTGCGGATAACAAATATTAATTCACGTAGAAACCATTTATCAGATAATATATTCGAAAAACTTTTATTTTTAAAAAATAAAGATTTATAAAATATGATATATGTATATAAAATATTTATAAAAATATGAATATATTTTTGTATCCTAAATTATTTTACTACCTATAATAATTACTCAAAAACAAAATTATCTTAAAAATTATCTAGATAAAAATGTTTTTAATTTTATCTTTTATCTAGATTAATGTAAAATTAATTATCTTTATCTTATCTAAAATACATTTTTGTGTCATTTATCTTATCTATAACTAGATCATTTTTAATTATCTAAGCGCAACACTGCCTGTAGTATGTATTGTTCACTTTTGTAATTTTTACTTCGATCTCTCATATTATATAATATATACAGTTGATCCCACTGAAGATAACCGAGGACATTACTGACTATCGATAAAATATCTGAAGATACGAAAGAAACTCTCTACGCGCGGCGGTAGTCGCGAGAGCTAGTTCCGTGAAATCGTGCGAGAGGATGCGAGAATCGTCGGAGGTAGAGATCTCGAGATTCTCGAGGCGCCGACGTATGTTTTCGTCGGGATGTTGCGCTACGTTGCGCGTCTGCGGCATTGACGTCCGTCGTGTTTTTTTTATCGTTATAAGAGTCGGGTAAGATTACAGCCGAGTGTGCTACGCGGCCCCGACCTATCGGCGTATCGGCGATTCCCGGGAACGTTTCGTCTCTCCTATCCACCCATGCATCTGTCTCTCTTTCTTTTTCTTCCCTCCCTTTTCCCTCCTTCGGCATATCACTGTTTTTCTCTGTGTTATCGTCCTTGCGGCCGTGTCGCGCGATGCCAACGTCGTCCGACGATGTCGCGGATTTCGGCTGTCACGTAGGTCACCCCCGCTTGGAATCCGCGCCCGTCTCAGAGTCTCGTGAATTTTCCGCCGACGACCCGCTCCAAAAGTCGCAGCGAGAAGAACGAAAGAGTTTCGAGGGGGAGGGTATCGTGTCTCTTTTACTTTGTCCCATATTTTTAGACGCGGCAAACAACGCGATTATTTACTCAACCGTCGCGATTTATTTTGTAAATGTGCGATTGCGACCATTGGCCCGTCACAATTCGAACGTACGGTGCGATTCAGCAATATCGCAAGAGAATACCTCTCTGATTTTAGATTTCAACGGACGGAACGTCGTAAGGTAGTCCAGGCTCCGTTATCCCTGCGTCTCTCGGCCCCACGGAGATCCACCGCCGACCATGAGCTGCGTGCGTTGCTGTCTGATTAGCGCGGGTCGCTTAGCCTCCTCCAACCATGTCACCAATCATGGTGAGTATAGGCTGTTTGTAAACAGCCCCGTCTATCTCGAATAAACAGCTGAATTTGTTAAGTATGATAGATAACTAGGCTGCGTTTCGTTTCACGCATGATGCACATGATGCATAATTTTATCCTTTTTTTAATAATCAATGAACAACACACTCTCTAAAACTTTTAGAATAAATTGTGACTCTGAACAATGAAATCTTACTCTTAAAGTTTGAAAATTGAACTATTTTTTTTCGAGGCACAATTTTTACTTTTTAATAGAATAAAATTTTACTCCAAAGAGTCTAGAGAACAAAGATAAAATTATACATCATGTATGTTACGCATGAAACAGAACACATTCTTGGAGATCTAATAAGATCATATTTTGTATCTGTTTGTGATGGCACAGTACACAAAATCGTTAGAGTTGTTGTGGCCAGCAGAGGCTTGACAATCAGCGGCAGCTTGGGTAAAGCTCCAACGGAACCCACACCACCCTCGAAAGACACCATTTCGTCAAACGGATCATCAAGTAGTGGCACAGGCGGTGGAAAGAAGAGTACTCTCACCTGTCCCAAGTGTGGAGATCCCTGCACACATGTTGAGACATTTGTTTGTAAGTACAACATTGTTGTATAGAAATTGATCTTAACAAACTCGGGTCAAAATTGCTGTGAATTATATTTATCTATATTTAAGTTAATATCTTACATATATTTGTGTGTGTACAAGCACTGATGTTACATTCTAATACATCATCTACTATTTTTACAAATAACAGCATCCACGAGATTTGTCAAGTGCGAGAAGTGCCATCATTTCTTCGTTGTGCTGTCAGAAATTGATTCCAAGAGGAGCTTGAAAGAGGCACTTAGGCCGGAAGATAGTAAGCAGGGCTTTTACAGGAAACCTCCTCCACCTCCGAAAAAGGTAATTAGAACTAATTGGTTTTAATAAAGATTATTTCATTTTATTTAATTTATATAATCAGATTGTTTTTCTAAATAAGATTAGATACATTTTGATTATATCTGCTTTAGAATGAGAAAAAGTAGTATAATAATAATATGATATTTTTAGATATTTGAATATCTAAACAGACACGTAGTGGGCCAGGAGTATGCAAAGAAAGTACTGAGTGTTGCCGTTTACAACCATTATAAGAGGATCTATAACAATCTGCCAGCTCAAAACTATCAGGCACAAACTAACGTTAATCCAGTTAGCACACAGGAGACAAATCATCCCTTCACTCATAGAGGTCTTAAATCACGTAAAGAACAACGCCCCAATCTTATAAATTGTTTAAAAATGAAATAATCAAAATTTGTGTATTTTTGTGTAATTGGACTATTATAATAAGTATCATAAAATTAGAATATGTTTTAAAACTAATTGAATTCTTAGAACAGCGGTTGAAACAGATTGCGATCTATGGTAATACTTGCTCCCACATTAAAAATGTATCATTTCATATACAATTATCATAAAATGTCTTTTTTTTTGCTGCAGACTTATTGCATATATCAGGCCTCGGAAATCCGTTTCCAGGAGTCGGGTTCCAGCACACTGTCAATCCGGGAAGCGAGCAAAAAGCGAGCAGTCAATCAGCTCCTGGATCAGCTATATTAGATAGCAAGCAACATCAGTTAAAACTGGAAAAAAGTAATATACTGTTGCTAGGACCTACGGGCTCTGGTAAAACGTTACTTGCGCAAACGATAGCGCAATGCCTGGACGTTCCATTTGCCATCTGTGATTGTACCACTCTCACCCAAGCTGGTTACGTTGGCGAGGACATTGAAAGTGTCATAGCTAAGCTCCTTCAGGACGCTAATTACGTGGTGGATCGTGCTCAGATGGGCATCGTGTTTTTGGATGAGGTCGACAAGATAGGTGCTATTCCTGGAATTCATCAATTGCGTGACGTAGGCGGGGAAGGTGTACAGCAAGGAATGCTGAAGATGTTGGAAGGAACAATTGTGAACGTACCGGAGAGAAATAGTTCAAGAAAATTGCGTGGGGAAATGTTGCAAGTGGATACTACGAATATTCTTTTCGTCGC